TGGTCCCGGAATCGGCCGACGCGGGTTGCCACGTCATCGTCTTCGTCAACTCGCCCACCAACATATTTTTAATAACTAAACATGAACGTTTTTAGTAAACCCAGTGACTAAATTTGCAATTTACCCGATCTAATCGTGTCACATTTTACTTCCGAGAAATATAATCGGCGGTGTTTATAACACTTGGAAATGGTCTTCCAAATAGGCATTCAACTGCATGAATTATATTAGTGCAAACTAGGCAATTTCTTTTTTAAGGACGACTTGACTTTTGACAGTTTAAAAACTACTTTTACAAAGTTAGTATGCCCGTCATCCTTTGAGAACACACACCTCCATAACTTGATAAAATTGGTGTTAGTTTTCGTGTATTAAAGCTATCCTACATGGTCCGAGCTAGCTATGTTGTTTGGTGGAGAAACAAACTAGCTTCAACCACACCCCATAATCATATCCTTTCACTCCGGCGGAAGCGACGACCTCCGCGGCGCTTCCTTCCCTTTCCGTTACGTACAAGGACAAAAGAAAAAGCCACGGCAAACCATATTTCCTTGTCCCAGTTGAAAAGGAACTAATTCCTCTATAAATTTGAGGCCAACCATATTTGCCCACCGTTGAGCTGTCACATCCTTCCTTTTCCTCTATAAATTTGAGGCCAACCATGCAACAAAAAGAGAGAGAAGGAGGGAAAAAATCGGCCGGAATGAGCGGCGAGCAGGACCGGTGGGCAAATCTACTGCCGGAGATTCTACGCTCGATCCGTGGGAGATTATCGTGGAAGGATTATTTTTCTTTCAGACTGACATGTCGTGACTGGAATTTCTCCACCGAGCTCGACCATGGCATCTACAAGAAGGTCAAGTATCCGTTCCTGTTGCATTATCCCAAGGTCGCTAAAAGTAGTACCGATGATGATCATTCATCGCCGTCGGTGGCCTCCGGTTGCTGTCGAGCCTACTCCCCTGCCTACGGCAAAACTTATTATATGCGCGCACCGAATGAAGTTTCCGACGCCTGCATCTCTTGCGCCGCCTATGGATGGTTGCTTTTCTCTGGAGAGTATCGAATTTTCTTTTATCGCCCCTCCACGGGAGACATCATTCAGTTACCCTATCACGGGCCAAATCTTCGTGGTAGCTTCAACCGGATGAGTTTCTCGGCTCCGCCCACGTCACCTGATTGTGTGGTTGTGGGTCAAGTGGATCTCATCTCCGAGAAAGAAACAATGATCCTCTTCATCCGGCGAGGACAGAGTTGTTGGAATCACGATCTAGACTGCGTCCCCAACAGGATGAGACTGAAGAATCGTCGTCCCCGGAAACTAACAACGGGAGATGTCAGGAAGATGAGAGTTAAATCCAGTGTGTGCAGTTGGAGCGCCAATAAGAAGTTTCGGCGGTGCGAGGGAGATTTCTTCTGGCCTCACTACAATTCCTCCCCGCTTTTCCACAGAGGAGCGTTCTATTGCTTGGCTCAGGATGGAAGGCTGGGGGTTCTGAATCCCAAGGCGAAAAGCAAGGACAAAATCTGGAGGGTATTCGATACATCCGCGGCCGACGTTTTTAGAGATGCCAAGGAAAACGAAGCTTATTTAGTGCACTGCAAGGGAGAGCTGCTCGCTGTCGTGGTCGGCCCGATGGGAAGGTTTGTGAGAATCGTCAAATTCTACGAGCCGACACGAGTGTGGCGGACTGTTCATGATCTCGGAAATCATGTGGTTTTATTGAGTCCCGCAGGATGCGTGGCCATGGAGTGCGACGAGGCGGCAGGATTGAGAAAAAACACTGTTCACTTCCCCAGGTTTCGTGGGCGAAATCACCACCACGTCTTCTACTCGCTCTCGACCAGACGGTTTCACTGCTTCAACGAGGTCGAGGAGGAGGACCATACGTGGGACAACTTGTACGATACGAAGCTCCCCTTGGTTCACGCTTGGATGACTCCGACTTTCCCCTTCCCTTGCCCAAGAAAAAAGTGGGATTGGTCGCTGAAACTCAAGGGACGACATCGAGCAATGGCGAAGAAGAATATTGCAGCAGGTCGTGTGATACATCCGCATTATTTGGTAAGGAACTTGAGCTTCACGCAACCACCAAGTGACGACGATGAGCATTCGATTCCGTACTTGCACCGTCCTAAGCAATTACAATTACAATTACAAGCCGCGCCAATGGCTCGACCATGTCTTGTTTTGAGGAGTGGAGAAGGAGAAGCGGGGCTGATCGATTTAAGCGGCAAAGGGGGCCAGCAGCAGCTGATGGTCGACCGTTCAAGAAGCATGGAGCAACTAGCACTCAGAATCGGTTCGAAGAAGGTGTACTCCTCCGGTCATGGACGACATTTGCTGGTGTTGATTGACAACAAGGCTCGTTCTTGTTCTTTGTTGTATCCCTCGTCCATGGTTGAAATACCACTACCCACATGGGAAACATCTTTCAGCTACGACGGAGAAGAAGAAGATCTCGCGGTTCATGTGCCTCGTGGGAAATCGAAACTGGTCGTGATGGTTTTTGGTAGGATGGATGATGAACAAGGAGAAGATGGTGTTAATAATAAGGGCAAGGACGTGGCAATGGTTTGGAGAGATGGTGATGCAAAATGGGCACTACATACGAGGCCAAGCAAGTTAGGAGTAGATGCGATCCATGGTGGAACCGTTGCCCACCAGGGTAAGATTTATGGCTACCTTTATGATCGTAAGGGTAAGGACGATCTCGCCGTGGTTGAGTTGAGAATGGGGAGATATGGAATCGAGAGCACAGGGGCTACGGCTCCGCAGTTTTTCAGTCCGGGGTTTTGTGGCGGTTGGCAACGACTGGTGGAATCGTGCGGTGAACTCTTACACATAGCTACATATTATGCCGGTGACGGTCTTGGTAAAGGGTGTAGCGACGGGACTTTTATAGACGTGAAAGTGTTCAAGATGGATTTTAGCGTCATGAAATGGAGGGTGATGGAAGACGTGGGAGACCGTGCGTTTCTCTTGGGCGAGTGGGGATGTTACGCGTGTTGCGCAAGCAAATCCGGGCTACAAAGGAATAGTTTCTACTTCACGGAAAGCAACATGAACTTGTGCGTTTATGACTATGGAAATCGTACCATTTCGTCGAGCTTGCTTGGCCCTCCTGATATGGACGACACTTGGATGGCATGTGGGTTTGTAATGTTGTATGACTAGCTAGCTATAGGGGAATCGGCACTAGATAGTGTGACGACACCCCTTGTGTTGTTATTGTAACAACACTAGTCTCCAACCAATAGGAAGTTAGGATTGTGATCGACTTTTTATTATATCAACGGCCCGCTGCAACCGCGTCGTACCAGGGTAGCTGCGTGGAGAAGGAGAATATGGAAGGAGGAGGAAAAGATGGTCGCCGCCGCTGCCATTTCTAGAGGAAGAAATTAACCAACTGTACTATGTTTATTGATCTCTCGATCTGTGTGGGGAAATGGGACATATTATTATTACTGTTCTTATAAATAATGTTGGAGAAAAGGAGTTGATCGAGAGAGAGAAGCGAGGAATAGGTTAGTTTTACTTTTATGGCTGGCTCGAGAAAACATAGGCTAGAATATGCTCTCAATTATTTAACATGAAAAATTAAAATTACAGAAATGGTCTAAGAAGTATATATAGAGAGAGTGTAGAGAGTAAATTTTTAGCCAAATTAGTTAGTCTATTTTCTTGTTGTTATAATTTAGATTTTTTACGGACCTTTTTTTTAATAAAAGAATTAAACAAATTCTGAAATGAGATGGTTACGTTGTATAAGCTTAAAATAAATTATTATGTTTTTTTTAGTGGAAAATATCAAAATGAAACTTTTATATATGAGTGAACTTGGCATGATAACTCTCTGGATAATAACCTTATTGCTAAAACATTCGTTTTACTTCTATCATATTTGAAACTAAACGTTTAGAATAATTAATTTCGAGTATGGTCTTTTATAATAAAGACAACATATGAAGATCGAACAAATTTAAAAAAATGAGCCACAAGCTAGGGTTTCAGGGTACATTAACCTTTGAAAGGTAGAAGAGAATAATTACATGGAGTTGTGCATGAGCCCATTATCATCATATATTTCGTGAAATTATGAGACGAGAAAGGAGTGGGAGAATTCCCAAAATATTGTATTTATTATTATTTATCACCAATATGGTGGTTTTAAATATATTTACACAGATATTGTGTTTTTTGGGGAAAGAGATGCGGGCTCGTAAGAGACTCAATTTTACTAGTTTGAAATGCGGATCCAAAATGGACTTGGGCGGACCCGCGTGGGACTGGTGCGGAAACGCATGGACTCAGCGGACCTGCATTAATCTCATGCGGATTCGACCTGTGTTTTACTAAACAAACCGGCATCCTATACAACCAGTCATAGAGACCAACTGTTGAACGCTAAACAAACCGGCATCCTGGAGATACGACTCATAACGTGGATGGTACGTGACCAATTTGGATGGTACGATCACCAGCCTATAGTGCACAAAACTTATATTAATTCAATTTCATGGCGTAATTCTATTTTCAGAACATATTGTAAAATCTATCTAATTTACTAAAAATATATGTAATGAAAACTAATACTAATTTCACAAGCAATTATAATATTTCAATTTACCTAGTAAAATCAATCTAATTTAGTAAAATATATCTAATCAAACTAATACTAATTTCACAAAATCTAAACTAACTAGCTAATGAACTTTACTGAAATAAAATACATAAAATACTTACATCGTTAATCCAAACTGAGTCGGCACGATGTTGACCATGTGCCCAAAGGAGTACTGAATCGACCGGAGCTGTATCTATTGTCGCAGGTGGTCGTCTCGTGGAATGCCTGTCAGGAATCCTAGGAATTGCAAAAAAAAAAAAAAAAATAGAAGCAGAAAAGAGAAACCCGCCGACAGCGAGTTTCCGGTGGCCGGCTACGACATTCCGGTGGCCGGCGACGACATTCCGGTGGCCGGCGGCGACATTCCTACCGATGAATCGCTCACCTCGGTACTGGCCGCGTGCTTGCTGTCCTCTTCCATGGCCTCTTCCTCCGGTGGCCGCCCGTTCTTCGTCGGAGTCCGACATCAAAACCAAAAACACAGATCTGGTTTTGTTCGGCCGCCTCTTCACTCCTGCGCTTCCGCGTGACTCTCGACCGTTTCCGCACGAGTCCCGGACGAACCCGCGTTGGATTGTGGGGTTTTGTGGCGGTCGGCGATGGGGGGTTTCTGGCGAGAGGAGGAGGGTTTGGGGGGCGTCGCTGCGGACGAAGGGGCGGGGTGGAGAAGAAGATAAGAGGTATCTTCTTTTATGCGAACCCGTCTGAGTCTGCTGCGGGTCCTCTTCTTTTATGCGAACTCGCATGAGTCTGCTGTGGGTGCACATTAGTCCACTTTGAATCCGCATTTAAATGAGTCTCCTGCGAGCCCGCATCTGTTTGCCCACAAAAACACAATATCTGTGTCATTATATTTAAAACCACCATATTGGTGGTAAATAAATATAAAAACATTATTTTGGTAAAGAATCAGAAAGGAGTTCCTTTGTGGTGGCATATATTATATCCCCACTTACTCTATAACTTATTATTTATATTTGTCAATTGAAAATGATCAATTTGGCAAGGCCCTGGTTTTATTATATAATAGGTTAATTTACTACTTATGTAGTGTGTCTAGATTCATGAACTTAGTAATTGAAAACGACAACAAAGCTACCTTTTTCATATTTTCCCCACAATTCTAGGTTAAAGGAAGGATATTTTTGGAAGGGTAAAATTTTACCACACCCAATCATTCACCCTACCATATAAAAAGAACAAAAACCCTAACTCCTCCATCCTCCCTCTCTCTCTCCTCCCTCTCTCCCGTAGACATCACCGTCTCTCCTCCCCTCTCTCCGCCGCCACAGCCCTCCCACCACCGCGACTGCTGTCCCCGCCGCTCCCGCCACGCCGCTGTCTTCCCGCCGCGCCCCGCCGCGCCGTTGTCCTCCCCGCGCCGCTGTCCTCCCGCCACGCCCCGCCACGCCCCGCCGCGCCGTTGTCCTCCCCGCGCCGCTGTCCTCCCCTGCCCCGCCGCCGCGAGGTAAAGACTCTTCCCTACCTCCCTCTTTTCTCATCCCAATTTTTTTTCCAGATCTGATAGTCTCTACTGGTACCAATACCACTGGTAGCACTATTAGTACCAATACCACTGGTAGCACTATTGGTACCAATACCACTGATAGCGCTATTGGTACGCTACCACTACTCACTAGTACCAATACCAGTGGCTCCCCTATCATCTGGTATCACTATCATATTTTTTTTTTGTGTTATTCTCTACTGGTACCGCTACCAATGCTAGTGGTAGCGCTACCAGTGCTAGTGGTAGCGCTACCAGTGCTAGTAGCGTTGTGTTATTCTCTACTGGTAGCGTTGTACTGGTAGCGTACCACTAGTACTGGTACATTTTTTACTGGTACCGCTAGTACTGGTACATTTTTTAACGTACTGGTAGCGTACCACTAGCACTGGTATATTAATTACCAGTAGACTAATAGATTGGTACACTTTTTAACGCATTGGTACATTTTTTCAGGTTGCCGGAGGGAGTCTGGCGGAGAGAATTCGCCGGAGAAAAAGTTTGTCGGTCGATGCGGAGTGGCTGCTGGAGAAAGGAAGAGAGAGAGAGAGAGATAGATAGATAGAGATATTAATGTATAGGATTTAAATTTCAGAAAAAAATTGTATTTAATATGGGTTTTTAATTCCCAATATAATTAATACAAAAAAGGTAATTAATATATTCATTTTTTTCATACACAAAATACCCTTGGTTGTGAATCCTGTACCAGCAAAACCCAATTTTTTTTGAAGTTTCGCCGATTAGAGGGTGGTGGAAGCGACAACCATTCTCAAGGTCAAGTAAAAAAGAACTTAACTAAGATTTAGACGTAAGTATGTGTGTGACAGTGTGAGAGGCTCTTCCTAGCGTAGAAACACCTTGATAAGGAACCTGGGGTCGTTTGGATGAGTAATTCTAATGGATCAATCTGACACAATTGTCTCGTTTTGAGTCCATTGTGCTAGATTGATCCGTTTGAAAATTTGAATGAAGCAATTTGGGCTGGGGAATTCTGAATTGACTCATTTTGAGCCAATTACAATTGTCTGGGTGGGGCAGGTAATCTGAATTGACTCGTTTTGTAAAATGAAACAATTGGTCAAATTGTCTCGTTTTATAATTGATCCATCCAAACGACCCATTTGTCACTTCCATGAGGTCTTGACTAACCACCTTTGATTGTTTTCTTCTTTTGACCTTAATTTTATTCAGTTTCAATCAATTGCATAGGGGCTCTCATTTGCCTGTCTCTACGGAGCCACTGGTGGGCAAGTCTTCGTTCGAGGGAAAGCTGGGGAACGTTTTGCTGTTAGGAACTCACTCGGTCAGGCTGTCGTCGAAGGCACCGGAGACCATTGCTGCGAATACATGACTGGTGGCTGTGTTGTTGTACTTGGAAAGTAAGTGAATGCTGCAGCAGTCTGCCTCACTTCTCGTTTTAGTAACATAAAACTGAAACTGATCCGTAGAGTTAAAACCTACGACTCGCTTTGGTCGACAGGGTTGGGCGAAATGTGGCTGCTGGCATGACTGGAGGTTTGGCGTACATGCTCGACGACGACGATACCTTGATACCCAAGGTTTGTAGTTTGTTACTGCTGTGATTCAAGTCTCTATCAAATTTTTTTTTACTGAAGCTCGGAATCCAAACAGATAAACAAGGAAATAGTGAAGGTACAAAGAGTGACTGCTCCAGTTGGTCAAATGCAGCTCAAGAGCCTCATTGAAGCTCATGTTGTGAGTTCACTACCCAAACCATTATGAACTCTTAGTTTGCTAAGATCGAGCTATGAACTTCGTTTTTCTGCTGACACAAGCTCACTATCTTTGATTGAAATCCAGGAAAAGACCGGTAGCGCGAAAGGCACTGCTATCCTCGAGGAATGGGAGAAATACCTCCCTCTCTTCTGGCAGCTGGTTCCTCCCAGCGAAGAGGACACGCCGGAGGCTTGCGAGTTGTACGAGGTGTTGAATCTTGGAGGAAGAAAAAGGTCTACTTTTCTTATTGATTAAACGGTGAAAATACACTGTCCACATTTTACAATATATATACTGTATATCAACCAACAAATACAGATACAAATAAAATATTACAACATAGTCCCTAAACTAACTATTCTGCACTATCGAGTCCTCCAACAGCCCCCCGCAAGCTGGAGCGTGGATGTCCAAACGATTCAGCTTGGAAACCAAACCTGAAAACACAGCACTCGACAGAGACTTGGTAAAAACATCAGCAAGTTGATTTTCACTGGAAACAAACAAGACTTTGATAAAACCTGATAATATACGATCACGAATGAGATGGCAATCGATTTCAATATGTTTTGTACGCTCATGTGCAACTGGATTCTCAGCCAACCTAATAGTAGACTGATTATCACAGAACAGTATAGTAGGAGTGCTAAGATTAACACCCAAATCCTGGAAAATATAATGCAGCCATTGTACTTCGCATACCAAATCTGCCATTGCACGGTACTCCGCTTCAGTTGATGATCGAGAAACAGTGGGTTGCTTCTTCGATCTCCAACTAATGATTGAGTCACCTAAAAACACACAATATCCAGTTGTTGATCTACGCGAATCAGGACAACCAGCCCAATCACTGTCTGAGAAACCAGTGAGTTTAACAGAAGTATTGCTGGGAAAAAATAAACCTTGGCCTGGATTGTTCTTGATGTATCTAAGAACTCTATATGCAGCATTTAAATGTATATCAGATGGTTTGCACATGAATTGAGTTAAATGGTGCACAGCATATACTATATCGGGACGAGTATGACACAAGTATAAAAGACGTCCTACTAGTCTACGATATATTTCAGGGTCAGAAAGAGATTCACCATCCTGAACAGAGAGCTGACTTCCTGCAGCAAGAGGTGTGGCAGCAGGTTTGGCAGCAAGCAACCCTGCATCATTGAGCAAATCTAGAGCATATTTTCGTTGACATACAGAAAAACCAGCAGAGGAACGAGCAATTTCTAAGCCTAGAAAGTATTTGAGCTGTCCAAGATCTTTGATCTTAAAAGCAGCATCTAATTGAGACTTAAGCAAGTTAAGTGACTCTAAATCATCTCCTGCTAGAATAACATCATCAACATACACTAAGACAGCAAGAAATTTACCCATATTAGATTTTGTAAATAGGGAATAATCTGCCTTAGATTGTGTATAACCAGCAGTAAGAAGAAACTGAGTTATCTTATGATTCCATTGTCTACTTGCTTGTTTAAGTCCATATAACGATTTATTTAGCTTGCAAACTAGGTTCTTTGAAGGTAAAGATAAGCCTGGAGGAGGCTTCATGTAAACTTCTTCAACTAAATCACCATGTAAAAACGCATTGTTAACGTCTAATTGTTGCACATGCCAGTTTTTGATAGAAGCAAGAGCAAGTAAAGCACGAACAGTAGTAAGTTTAGCAACCGGAGAAAAAGTTTCTAAGTAGTCCAGCCCCGGGGTTTGAGTATACCCTTTGGCGACCAACCTAGCCTTATAACGTTCTATACTACCATCCGGTTTAAACTTAATACGAAAGACCCACTTATTTCCTATCGCATGCTTACCTGGAGGCAATGGAGTTAGAGTCCAAGTATTGGTGTTTGCCAATGCCAGGAGCTCTAAATCCATGGCCTCAACCCATCGAGGATCTTTGGCAGCCTCTGTGTAAGTAGTAGGTTCTGTCGCGTTTGTTATGGCCATAACAAACCGTCGATAAGTAGGAGATAACCTGTGGTAAGACAGAACTTGGGAAATAGGATATTTAGCAGTAGAGTTAGGACAAAAATAATCACTTAACTTCTTGGGAGGTGCACGAACCCTATCAGAACGTCTAAGGGGAACAGCACTACTAGTTGGCAATTCATTAGAAGAAGAGGGGAAGGAAGTAGTAGGAATGTCAGCCGTAATGCAAGCAGGAGGAGAGGAAGAAGGAACCGAATTAGGTGCTGGAATGTTGTGAGAATAAACAACAGAATCAGCAGCCTGAACATCAATAAAAGGAAGGGCCTGGTCTAAAGAAGTTAAAGATAGACCAGAATTCGAGAATGGGAAAATATTCTCATGAAAAACTACATCACGAGACTCACAAAAGCTATGAGACTGCAGACTATAGAGTTTATAACCCTTAGTAGCAAAAGGAAATCCTAGAAACAGACAAGGTTCTGCCCTAGCTGAAAATTTAGGACGATTGTGAGCCAATGTCGAAGCATAACATAGACAACCGAACACTCGAAGTTTACTATAGTCAGGTTTCTTATGAAATAATAACTCAAATGGAGATTTGTTTACTAAAACAGGGGTAGGTAACCGGTTAATGATATGGACAGCATGCAAGACTGCATGTCCCCAAAACTTAACCGGGAGAGACGCTTGCATCAGCAGAGCTCGAGCTACAGCAATAATATGCTGTTGCTTCCGCTCAACACGGCCATTTTGCTGTGAAGAAGCAGTACATGTAGTTTGATGAATAATTCCTAAGGAATTATAAAAGGAAGGCATGTTAAATTCAGCACCATTATCAGTTCTAATACATTTAATGTTGCTGTTAAACTGAGTTTTCACATAAGAACAGAAAGTTTGAACAATGGACCTAGCCTCTGACTTAGAAGTCAACAAGTAACACCATGTATTACGTGAATGATCATCAACAAATGTGAGGAAATAACGATGACCATCAATAGTAGGAACACTGTAAGGACCCCATATATCGATATGCACTAAATCAAACAAGTGAACAGCATAAGACATGCTGGACTGAAATGGTAAGCGACGTTGTTTAGCTATAGGACATACTGAACAATGTAAATCTGGACATTTATTCCTAATATCACTTAGTCCAGGGGCAGAACTATGACCTAGGCGATAATGCCATTGATCAATCTGCCTAATAGTTGTATCAAAAACAGCAGATAAAGCAATAGGCAAAGATAGAAGAGATAGATCTCGTCCAGGTTCGACTTTGAGGTAGTACAGCCCTGCAATCTGCTTAGCTATACCAATCCTCTGCCGGGATGGGATATCCTGAATCAAACAATGTGAATGAGAAAATATCAATTCACAATTGTTGTATTTAGCTAACCTACTCGCAGACAACAGATTGAATGTGAATGATGGTATCATCAACACATCATGGACAACCAAAGAGTCAGACAACCACACTGTGCCCTTGTGAGTAACAGCTACACGAGAGCCATCAGGTAAAGTGACATACATACCAACGGTTTTCCTAAAGTCTACAAACAAGTCTAATGAACAAGCCACGTGATCAGTCGCACCACTATCTACAATCCAGGTCCTAGTTGATTCACCTAGTGATCCTAGAGTAGCAGAAGTTAGAGTGTACTTACCTGCAGCAGCATGAGCTCCAAACTGACTCGGCTGATTCCAGGTATGATCCGAGGAGATGGACTGAGATGCTAGTGCTGCTGTACCAGATGTCGAAGCACCTGAAGCACCTGCTGGAGTAGAAGCGACAAGGCAGGAAACCGATCTTGGTGACGGCGCCGAGACAGATGCTTGAGCCAGTAGCGAGCGGTATTGCTCAGAAGTGAGCACCACAGAACCAGATTCTGCTGAAGATCCGTCACTAACCATAGCCTGAGGAGTAGCATCTTGAGAATTCTCAGCCACAGCAGCGTTAACCTTGCCTTTACCCTTGTAGCCCGGCGGATATCCATGCTTCTTGAAGCACCGATCGACAGTATGTCCGACGCCACCGCAGTGAGTGCAAACCGGTCGCTGACGATTTCCAGCACCACGACCTTGGCCTTGAGCTGGTCCAGAAGAACGGCCAGATGCTTGACCAGCCATAGCGAGTGGAGCCGATAACGAACTAGCTCCAGATGGATTGATCTGGCGCTCGTGCTGGATGACCAGAGAGAAGACGCGAGTAATCGAAGGGAGAGGCTCCATGAGCAAGATCTGACTCCTGATCTGAGCGAAATTGTCGTTGAGACCTTTCAGGAAGCGAATGATCTGATCGGACTGCTGGTATGTGCGAACAAGAGTGATCGCACCACAAGAACACCGCGGATTGCAAGAACACACAGGAAACGGCCGAAGAGTGACCATCTCATCCCAGAGAACACGAAAACGAGTGAAGAACTCGCTGACAGAAGCAGTGCCTTGCTTGAAGGAGAAGACCTCGTCCTGGAGATCAGAAATCCGGATCAGACTGGCCTCGCTGAAGCGATCTTGAAGATCTCTCCAAACCTCAATCGCGGAGTCGAACCAGAGGATGCTTTGAGCGATGTCTGGGGCCAGCGATCTGTAGATCCAGCCAAGAACCATCACGTTGCATCTCTCCCACGCACTGTGAAGAGGCTCGCCCGGAGAAGGAGGAGTGACCGCGGGATCGATCAGAGAAAG